TTAAAAAAAGTGTTAAAAAAAAAAGTTGTATTAAAAAAAAAATATTAAAAAAATTGTTATAATAAAATAGTTCTATTAAAAAAAATATTAAAAAAAATTGTCATAATAAAAACGTTATATTAAGAAAAATGTTGTATTAAAAAAAAAATATTAAAAAAAATTGTCATAATAAAAAATATGTATTAAGAAAAAAATTGTATTCAAAAAAAAGTATTAAAAAAATTGTTATAATAAGAAAGTTATGTTAATTAAAAAATAATATTAAAAGAAGTGTTAAAAAAAAAAGTATTAAAAAATAAAAATTGTAATAAGAACAAAGAAGAAAAAAGTAATAATAAAAAAAATTATTAAAAATTTGTAATACAAAAACAGTTACATTAAAAATAAAGTTGTGTTAAGAAAAAAATGATATTAAAAAAAAAAAAATGTCCTAAGAATAAAGGAGAAAAATATAATAATAAAAAGTATTAAAAAAAAAAAAAAGATGTCCTAATAATAAAGGATAAAAATGTAATAATAAAAAAAGTGTTAAATAAAAAAGTTGTAATGCGAAAACAGTTACAATAATAATAAAGTTATATTAAGAGAAACATTATAATAAAAAGAAAGATGTAATAAGAAAAAAATGACAAAAAAGTTGTAATAAAAAAAAAGTAGTATTAAGAAAAAAATGATAATAAAAAAAAATTGTATTAAGGTTAAAATTGTAATAAAAATAAAGTTGTATTGAGAAAAAAATGACAATAAAAATAAAGATGTGCTAAGAAAAAAATGATATTAAAAAAAATTTAGTATTAAGAAAAATATGGTAATAAAAAAAAAGTTGTATAAAGAAAAAAAATGGTAATAAAAAAAAGTTGTATTAATATAAAAATTGTGAAAAAAAAAGTCGAATTAAGAAAAAAATGATAATAAAAAAAAGTTGTATTAAGATTAAAAATGATATTAAAAAAAAGTTCTATTAAGATTAAAATTGTAATAAAAATAAAGTTATATGAGAAAAAAATGATAATAAAAATAAAGATGTATTAAGAAAAAAATGATAATAAAAAAAAAATTGTATTAAGATTAAAATTGTAATATAAATAAGATTGTATTAAGAAAAAAATCATAATAAAAAAAAAATTCTATTAAGATTAAAATTGTAATATAAATAAGATTTCATTAAGAAAAAAATGATAATAAAAAAAAAGTTGTATTAAGATTAAAATTATAATAAAAAAAAAAGTTGTATTAAGAAAAATATGATAATAAAAATAAAGATCTATTAAGAAAAAAATGATAATAAAAAAAAGTTCTATTAAGATTAAAAATGATAATAAAAAAAAATTGTATTAAGATTAAAATTGTAATAAAAATAAAGTTATATGAGAAAAAAATGATAATAAAAAGAAAGATGTGTTAAGAAAAAAATAATACTAAAAAAAAAGTTGTATTCAGATTAAACTTGTAATATAAATAAGATTATATTACGAAAATAATGATAATAAAAAAAAAATTGTATTATGATTAAAATTGTAATATAAATAAGATTGTATTAAAAAAAAATGATAATAAAAAAAAACTTCTATTAGGATTAAAATTATGTTAAAACAAAGTTGTATTAAGAATAAAATTATAATAAAGAAAAAGTTGTGATAATAAAAAAATATTAAAATTTAAAATAATTCAAGTATTAATCCACTCCTATATTTATTCCACAAAGCATTATGCTTATATATAAATAATACATAAATATTACTCCTATTTTTTTATTTCACAAAGATTTATACAAAATATATGCACATCAAACAACTATTCAACATTAATAAATACAATAAAACAAATAAATTACATTACATAAAAAAATGATAATATTAAAAAATAAATAAAAATAAATAAAAAAATAAATTGTAAAAATAATCAACAAAAACATAAAAAATAAATAATCATAACTACATACATCTAATTCAAAAGAATAATAAATAAATATATAGTACACAAATATATAATAAATAAAAATAAAATTGTTTACTTTAAAATAAATAATCTTAAAAATAAGCACAAAATAAATACCAATAACACGAATTTAATTAATACATACTCAACAAATAAAATTACAAAATATTTAAACCAACAAACTTCCAATAACTATAATCATAATAAATTTATATCCTTTTTATATAACATTCACCCTTTTCCTCTCAACTTGCATATTCCAAATAAATTTTCTGAAATTCAACAATAAAATTTTTATAAAATTTATACCATGCCATAATATTCAAATAATTAATTTATCTGTTATCTCCTCTTTTTTTTTTAATATACTTATTCAATTCTTAATCATAATGTCAACTTAATAATATAAATAAATAAATATAAAAAAAAATTATAAAAAATGGTAAATAATTATTAAATTTTTAATAATGAAAAACCATAAATATAATTATAAATATTCATAAAAAAATAGATTTCACCTATTATATTCCTTTGAAAAAAATAATCAACTCCCATAAAAATCATATAAAATGATAAAAAAAAATAAAACACATTTACTTTGCTCACAGACTTTCTCAGTAAATCATTAATTGTAATTTATATTGTAAAAATATAAATATAAAAAAAAAAAAAAAAAATTGAACAAAATGATAAATTTTATTTTTTTTTTTTTTTTATTGTTTTTTATCCAGAAAAATCAAGTTTCATAAATTCATCTCACATTTTTCATTCATTTTTTTTTTCAATGTAATGATATCTTGTTTCTAAGAAATTTTTGTTAATAAACTATTGTTATTATTATTTTCTAAAAACATTATAAGAAATATTTTAAAAAAATAATCAGAAAAGAATTTAAATTTTCTTGTATTCATAGTAAAAAATTCTAAAATAATAAAATAATATCTCAAAGAATTTCAAGTACATATATATACATATATTACCAAATAAAAATTGCTCAATAAAAAAACAAAAAGATTAATATTGTTATAATGAAAAAATAAGTGCATTACTTATTAACTTTAATTTTAGCTTTTTTTTTTTTATATATATATATTTCTTCAAAGAAATATCTATATTATAATGCACTAATTTGTTAACAAAAATTTAAATATTAAAATAAAAAAAAATTAGAATAACTTTAATCTTCGTTTAAAGTTTAATAATTTAACAACAAACAATATAGATTTTTATAAGTGTCAGCCATTTTTCCATTAAACTTAAAATATTTTTTCTATGAAAATATATATGAATAATTAAAATATTATATTATAACTACCACTTATAGAATTTACATGTATATATATATATATATGTTTTTTTTTTTTTACGTATTTTATATTTTATAAAAATATTATATAGATCCTTTATAATAAGAATTATAAGTTATTATGTATATTATATTATTTGTATATAAATTATATTTTACTTCTTCAATATATAAATTTACTATTCAGAAAAAAATTCTGTAAAAATATTATATAATAATTAAATTCTTTATTCAAAATAAAAAAAATTAAATAATCATATCATTATTTCAAACTTACATTCATAATCATATGATTATATAAAAAATTTAAGAAAACACAGAATAAACACTTAAAATAATTTCTTTTATTTATATTAATTTTTTTTTTTAATTATAATTTCATAACATAATATGATATTTTATTATATCAATTATTTTATTTTTTTTTTTCTTAATTTTAATTTTATAAATTAAACTTTTGTTTTATTAATTATATTTTTTCTTTTTATTTGAAAACTAATAACATTATTGTTACATGAAAATAAAAATTTAATATTCAACACAAAAAACAAATAAAAAATTCCCTTTACTCTAAATTAATATCTTATACTATATAAAATGCCAATTTCAAATATAAAAAAAAATTTATAATATAGTTATCACATAAGTACAAGTACTGTCATTTATATGTAGAAACTATAACAATTTCCCAATGTAATTCAAGTGTATAATGATGCTCAAAAATAACAAAAAAATCTATATTCAATTTTTTCGTCAAATTAAATTATTTTTCTTCCTTAATTGGATTAACGAATATTTTTTTAACGTTTGATAAATTTAAAGTATAAGATACATACATATACATTACTTTTTGGTTTTCTTGAAATTTATGCATTTATCTATAATTCACATAAAAATTTCTTTTCTTTAATTAATCAATTTTTGAATACTACTGTAAAATATTTTGAAAAAACCTTTTATGATGATATTATAATCATGAGAAAAAAATCAATCTTAAAGAAAGCAAGATATTTATCACAAGCAGAAGAAACTTCCTGTATATTAGATAAATACAGTGAAACAAAAAAAAATGAAGATAACTCCTCTAGTGAAACAAGTAAACTCGATACAGAAATTAAAACATTTGTGGAAGATACTAATAATGAACTTAATTTTTATCTCAATGACCGCAAAATTAATAATGCTACAGAAAAATGTCAAAAGTCATCCTCGTATGTAAATTGGAGAGGAATGGACTTTGTTAATTTAGTATTAAATGAAGAAACAGATCAAAATATCCCAAGTCTTGTTAATTGTTGGAATAAAAAACAAAATTCTTTAGAGACACAAATACGTGAGAAAACAAGTTCAACATGTAATTTGAAAAATTTTGATTATTGTGCTGTTCTGAATAAAAACGATAATTGCACCAGTCCTTATAAAGATAGTGATATACCAGGGTTAATATCATTAACGTATAATCAACTCAGTGAGAGTGAATATATTCAAAATAAAACTCAAATTATTTATGATAGAGCTTCTCAGTTTGATACTATTACTAAAGATATATCTAATTACTATTATAAAATATATGAAGCTAATTCAAATCAACTTAATTGTGGAAAGTGGAGTATGTATATATTTAAGAGAGGAAGACAATTTGTTAATATGATGAATTATGAACTTTATTCCGAGGAAAATTATAGAAGTGAATTTGTTGATAATTGGAATACTTTTAGTAATAATTTGCAACAAAGTATATTAAAGGACACAGGTAATCAATGTAATATGACAAAATTAATTTATCAAATTAAAGAACGAAAAAATACAACTGATCCATATAATTTAGATTGGCTTCCTTCAAATAGCACTCAAAATAATTCTAATGAATCTATATATAATACAACTGTATTACCAGATGCCTTACAACCTACAACTGTAATTCCTAATGGATTACATAATGATACTGCTACAGATTCCTTGGGTAGCAACACAACTAGTGTTAATAACGTAAATGGTGTGAATCCCTCTGAAAATACATTAACAGGCCATATCTCAGTACCACCACCTACTGCAGATCAAATTGATCCAAAAATTTCAACCACAATTTCTCCAATAGACACAACACAATCGAATTTTTTAACTCCAAATGATACAATACATCTTAATACTAATAATATATCTAACACAACCTCATCATCACATTCCCCCGAGGTTGTAACATCTCCTACAACTGAAACATTACCTTCAAATTCTACTACAAGTAGTGGAACACCTTCAGTTACACCTTTACCTGAAGAAATATCTGCTACAACGGCCAATGATTATTCTAATACTACTATGAAGTCATTTACAAATAATACTGCAACTTCTACTACTATCACTCCACCTCTTACAACTGCATCTTTATCTTCCCCTGAGGATATGTCTCCTACAAATAGAGCTATACCTTCTAATAATAACACTGCATCTCTAACAAGTAGTAGTGCACCTACAGTTACATATTTACCTGTTAACGAGTCTCCTCCAAATATAACTGCTTCTTCTACAAATATAACTGCATCTTCTACTACTACGGTTGAGTCATTGGAAAATAATATTACACTTTATACAACACCAACTAAATCCCCTGAAACTTCTTTATCTTCTGAAAGTGCAACTTCTGTAAATAAAATTATACCTACAAATAGTACTGAATCTCCTACAATTGATTCTTCTTCTCCTGAGGTTGAACCTTCTCTTACAACAATAACTAGAACTCCTACATATAGCTCTACACCTCCACTACTTTCACCTACTCCTACGATCACCACTTTGCCATCTACAAATAATTCTACATCACCTACAAATGATATGCCTATTCATCCTACTAATGATTTTTATTATTTTAAAGAATTGACTTGATTTTTTAAACACTAATCGTTAGAAATAGTAATTAAATGTTTTGTACTTAAAA